AATGTCCTCCCATGGAAGTGGAGACCGGCATCATTCCCGACGTCGCTCTGCCGAGCCGAATGCTTTCAGAGTTCATTATGAAAATGGTGAAACTTCTGACATCTCATTCTCAAATCTGTCAGATAGCGACGAATCTCCAGAACGTATGCTGGAACGTGCAAGAAACTCGGTATTGAGCGAGGCCCAGAAATTTAGCATGGAAATTGCAAAAGGCTTGGTCAAGCTCCGAAAGTCCTTATTCTCCCTGGAAACAGCGACGCGAGAGGCTATGGAATCCAATCAGACAGATATTCCTCCTACCGACTCCTTCCTCACAGCCTTAGCCCTGGCGTCTCAGTATTTACCTCAGATGAACGATGTCATCAGTAAATGGCGCTACCCGATGAACCCTTCACACGAAACTGTTGTATTCCAGCAAACCCTTCGTCGTAACCGCCAAGCATCGTGGAGATTTGTTCAAGCGGCTGGTACCCTTGCACATACATTGGAAGTGATCGACAACTCCGAGAACGCTTGCTGGCAAGATTTCATGAAAATTTCACCCGCACCAAACGAAGACGATTCTATTGAGAGAGAAGCTCAATTTGGGTATGACTTTTTGAAAGCAATCCTGCTCTGGTTACAGGGTGGCAGACTAGGGCTACTGGCAGGTTTCAAGCGGGAATCATATCCCATGCGAGTACATGGGCGATTTCCAATACCAGCCGACGCGGGCGACGAGGCGGTTGATGAAATTCTGATCCCATATCTTCAAAGCTTAGCAAGTGACACGCCGATAATCAACGTGGATGCATCTCGCTTTGAAGTTGCTGCCTCCCGAATCTTATTTCAAAGTCAACGAGCAGCGGTCACGGCATTCGGCAATGCTGTGAAATTGCCTCTCGAAAACTTGGAGAATATGGCTGCCCGAGTTGATAAGCGTCGCGTCTCCAATTCTTCCTCACAAGTTCGATCTCTTGACCGAGCATCGGCCACTCGGTTCTGGATTTTGAGAGTGGGTAGAGGAGTTCTAATGGAAGCTGGAACCGGTGTCAATTATGCTTTTGTCAACCGCGCTTTTGGTGGGCTCTACACTGCTGTGGCAGATGATGAATCCGATAGTGATGAGGACCAGATGGTGGAAAGATCCCAAGAAGATATTGATCCCAATGTGGAAGAAGAGCGCATTAGGTCGGTTAATCTTGTGAGGACTCAGCGCGCCTCTCGGGAAAGTGCTGCAACTGCTACAGAAGATGACAGCATTACCCCCAACGAGGCTGGATCCTCTGATAATTTGGCGATCCGCAGTGCCCCTGAAAATCGAGATGATCAGAGTGAAGCGGAGGCCTCTAGTGACAGTGAAAGCGACGGTGAGGATGAGGATGAGGATGAAGATGAAGATGGTCACTGGGTTTTAGGCACTATCGACTCATCAGATGATGAACAGGAGGATGGTGATAGCGATACCGAGCAGCCTTTCTTGGGATATAATGGCCGCATATCTCAACGGGGAGAGGTCGAACTTGATGTGCCATGCTCGGCACAATCCCGGGTTTACCGAGGCCATTGTAACATCAAGACGGTCAAAGATGTGAATTTCTTTGGCTTGGATGATGAATACGTGGTGAGTGGCAGCGATGCTGGTCACGTCTTTATATGGGATCGGAAGACTACGAAATTGGTCAATATCCTAGAAGGCGACAGTGAAGTTGTCAACGTCGTGCAAGGTAAAAACGATCACCCCATTTACACTAATTTTATTCCTTTCTCATTTTCTCATATAGGCCACCCATACGAACCCACTTTGGCTGTATCAGGCATCGACAGTACGATCAAAGTTTTCTCCCCTGATCGATACGCCCAAGATCAGGCTCGGCGCGGGTTCAATATTCTCGACCCCGATAACCCATCCAATGTTCTACGCACAAACGCAAGCAACATCGGCGGACTGCAGAGTCGCAAGCGCATTGAAGATAGCTACCGCATCATGAACCAAAATGATCTCGACCGCCGCGGAGGAATGGACGAGGCCTACATTACTGTACATATAGTCTTTTTTAAACCCGACTTGACCAGCGCTAATAAGTCTTTACAGAGGAACATGCTTACGCGTCTAGCTGCCACACTGCGAGGTCGACCAGGCGTCAGTTTTGGGGATGGAATCGCTACCATCGCTGGTGAAGACGATGATCGCCCTAGTGTTGTGCTTGATGACAATTGCATGGTTTGTCTTTCTCTAGCGAAGCTTGTCTGAAAAATGCAGCTAATCTTTTCATGATAGGTGATGTGATATGCAGCGATGACGACGGCATGGCATCAAATCTTCCGACTTCTACAATCTCGGCAACGCAGTCAACGAAATTTGGATCGATGAATTCGAACTCATCGCCCGCTTGCCCTTTTCTGATTCCGACTTGACAAGCTGGTTGGCCTCCGCATGGCTGGCCGAAGATTCACTGGGATCAATTCATCATCCCACCGAAACGAGACCTCGGAGTTCTCCAAAACGCTACCATGGACACGAACCTGAGAATGGTCTCCTCCGGCTGTTCTATTTCTATTTTACGACAACCTTTTTCATTTTCATTTTTTTTTTTTTTTCATTTGGTTGCCCCTTCCAGATTGATCCTGCAGGTTGGTGGCGACGGGGAATTTGGGCGCTAAATTAGCATGAGAATGGCATTTTTAGGGACAGCTTGCATAAAATTGACATGGCGCTACTATAATTGAAGCCACTACTACTCCAGTTATCAAACTTCTTATATATAATTTCCAATACCTCAAATTGTTCAAACTTCCCTCCAATTCCCTATAAACCTATATATAGCATGGAATCTCCAACTTGGAGTATACTAACTACTCGCAGACCTTCCCCGCCACCCCCCACCAACGGAATGCCCCACATTAAAAAAAATGCGCCAAAGTCACAATTAACATCCTTCTAAGTTAAACACGAGCCATTCCTTTCTCAACCCCCTACCAAAATGGCCGCAGAATTGCTGCAGGCTCGCGCTGAGAAAACAGAACACCTCTACGCCGATCCGCACAATCCACACCTCTACCTCGACCGCGCTCGTCTCTATGAACAGCTCGGCTTCCCCGATTTAGCGGCCGCCGATGCGTACCGCGCGCTATCACTGCTCGAATCCGTCGTTGACCCGGACGGGTGTGAATTCTTCGCTTGCAAGAAGGTTGATATACCTGCTGCTGAAGTGACGACTGCGCCCAATACTGAAGGCGAGGGAGACGAGAACGAGAACGAGGACGAAGATGAAGATGAAGATGACGACAACACAATCCCAGTAACGCAAGAGGAATACGATGCCTTAATTGGCGAAGTGTATGCCGTCCTAGTGCGCGGTCTAGTTCGCTGTGGCTGTTATCGCGATGCGTATGAATTCGGCGTCCGCGGGCTTGGTCTGTTGGACAATTCTTCTTCGGCCACGACTCTACTGAACGAGCAAATGGAGCAAGTCAAGAAGGTGTACCAAGCTCGCACGAAATCAGAGCAAGACATCGAACTAACCTCGATCGACTCTGCCATTCTCCCCGCGCAGGGCTATGCTCGCCGCGTCCTTTATCCCTGGAACGAACATGAACCTGACCGTCGCGCGCCGGAGGAATTAAAATTCCTCAACGAGCGACTCGCTGACATTGCGCCGAAATGCGAAGTTCGCGCCGTGGCTCTACCGGCTCTGCATGATGGTCATGATGAAGAAGAAGTCTCTGTTCAACTTGGTCTCTTTGCCAAGGAAGATATCGCCGCTGATGAAATTATTCTTCGCGAGAATTCGCTTCTCACTGCGACAAATCGCCTCCATGATGATCTTTGCGATGCATGTAATGCTCCCTTGCCGGAGCTCTCGGCCGCTGAGCCACCTGTTGGATGTGAGGGTGGTTGTGCAGATACCGTGTTCTGCAGTCAGACCTGCCATGACCTCGCGCAGCGTGTTTACCACGGTGCCATTTGCGGGTTGGAAGATGGTCTTGAGTCTATTGGGAAAGATATTCCCGATCCTAAAGATAAGGCGGATTGTCTATACCTTTTGCTACTCGGTCGAGCTCTCGCTATGTCTGCCACGCAGGATGTCGACGCTCTGGAACTGCCAGAAGTGAAATATATATGGGGAGATTTCCACGACTTCGACATCAAGACAGCACTTTCTTCGCCCTCGCAAAGCGATGACTCTGTTTCTCTCCCATTCTCCTTCCAACTGAACATCCTCCAGCCCATGCGCTTCCTCGAGGAGATGGAGATCGATCCCTATGCCTCGCTGCCACGCTACGACACTTGGGTGCTGAACACGTTGTATGCCAAGTTCCGCGGCACTGCATCAGGTCGTCTCTCGACCTGGGATGGTGGGCCGGAACTTTGCGCTGTGCACCCGCTTTGGTGTTTGGCGAATCATTCGTGTGATCCGAACGTGCGGTGGGAGTGGGGTGGTGAAATCACTTTCCGCGCGAGGCACGATGAGGAAACGGCTGTGTGGGTGAGGACTGATCATGAGGGAAAGATCGCGGCTAAGCCCCCTGCGAAGGGAGGTATTGCGAAGGACCAGGAGATTTTGAATCACTACTGTGATATTGGTCTGCCGGTTCATGAGAGGAGAGAGTGGGCTTCTGGTGCTCTGGGTGGTATCTGCCGCTGTGACAGATGTATTTGGGAGTCTTTCGAGGATTGAAAGAATGATGCTGCTGCATCTATATTAGAATATAGAGTTACCCTAGGATGGTGTGATGTGATGTGATGTTGATGTATGAGATACCCAAGGATCTTGATTTTGTGGAATGTGGCACAGTATGCATTGGTATCTGGGATTCCGCCACGAAGGCAAAAGAGTTCAAAAGCAAAGAAATAGAGTACAACCGTTAAAAAGAGTTTCCTGCCCATTCGCATGACCGTGCTTCCAGTTCCCAAAACAAGCCTTCCCTATCCGACAACTTTATACCAACTAGTACAAAAACACAAATGCTATGCACGAAACGCACTTAGCGTTCATTTGCCATTGTGCAATATACTATCAACGACGAGGCGGCGTTCGTGATGCGCTTCTACCTCGCGAATCATCCCGGCGTCTGGGAGGACTGCCGGAGACAGAAGACGAGTTACGTCTCCGGCGTGGAGGAGGAGAAGGTGAGCGAGAATCCTTTGTGGTACGTCCCCGGCGGGGAGGTGTCACAGAGCGAGACATAGATCTCGAATAGCTGCGAGTCCGTCGGGGACCAGAAGCCTGTCCACGACGGGGTGGGATGGCCGATCGCGACCGGCTGCGACTGGGGGTACGTGAATCGTAGGAACGGCCTCGGGACCGTTTAGCGGGAGTGCGTGAACGGGATCGGGATTGGGAGCCATCGGCTGGCGATCGACTGTCTGAAGCACGTCTGGCACGGCGAGGAGGAGTTCCTGAGCGCGAGCGCGAGCGAGATGGAGTGTAGCTGCGGCCTCGCGAAGAAGGAGTGACGGACCGGGTGTAAGAACGGCCGCGATCTCTAGAAGGAGAGCGAGAGTAGGAATAGGAGCGGGAGCGGGATCGGGATCGGGAGCGAGAAGAGCGGCTGTAGGACGAATATGACCGGGCCGATGGGGAACGGGAGGCACGGGCTGCTGGCAAGGCTGGCACCGTGGGTCGGGGGAGATTCTTGAGATGCTCGCGCATGTCCTCTGTCAAGACACCCATGCCAATGCTGGTGAAATAGTTGATCGAGAATCTGGTTTGGCGAGGGTTCTCTGTCGGGAAGAGGCCTTCGAAGTTGGGACGAAGGATTTCGTCTCTGAAACGGGCCTGCAAGCCGGGCAAGCCGAGATGTTCTCCTAAGTCCTGGAACAGAATCTTGATGAAGATACGACTGCTCGAGGTAGTTTCCTCCTCGTTCATGTGAATTACGGATAGAACGTGCCAGCCGATGGCGTCGTTGCTGATCATGTGTCCGAAGAAACGCGCGATATTGCGCAGGCGGTTTGTTTCGTAGCGATGGATAGTGTCATAGTAGTTGGCAAATGCAGCCTCAAAGAGATCGGACCAGAGGCGATTGATCTTGGCGAATCGTTCACCGATAAGCCCGTAGAACTTGGAGTATGTTCGTTCCTGGGAGCAACACTCGATGATCATCGACGGTAATTCCGGCTCCAGGCCTGCAGGAAGGTTGATCTTCATCAATTTGTGGCAGCATTCTTCGAAATCTATACTCGACATGATAGTCAGGTAGATCGTTCGTCGTAAGTTGACTAGGTTTGTGTTGGTCTGGTCCTTGATGTCCATTTTCTGTTCCTCCGCGTCTGATTCATCCTCCGAGCTCTCGTCTTCGTCATCATCGTCATCATCTCCATCCTCATCGCTATCTTCACCCAGAATCTCGCTCTTCAATTTCTTGTAGGCCTCCTCGTGTTCTTCCCACTCGGGGTCGAATTTGAAGATATTGAGGGTGTCTTGGGTCTCGAAATCGTCATCCAAACCCAGGCGGTGGGTGATTTGATCCTCTTCTTCCACCAGATCAAGTTCCTCCTTCATGGACGGGTTGTCCTTGTATCGATCCTTGCGCACTTGGAAAAGCACCTCAATCATATATTGGATACGCTTGTCGATGTCGGCCTCGTGGAGGATATTGCGGAACTGGTCGAATACCGCGAGGGCGATCGGAGGGTTCATTTCCTCCAGGTGTTGACCAACTTCGCGAGTGAGTCCTACAGCAATCTCGACACTGTCATCCGTTGGCTTGTGCAGAAGGAGTAGGAGGATTTGAGCTGCAAGCATTTCGTGGGCGACTTGGTTGTTGCACAGGTGCGCAATGAATGTCGTGGAGGAAATGCAGACGGCTTTATCATTTCGCTTAAACGCTTTGCGGAACTGTGTGATCAATCTAGACAACAGCAAGTCTCCCACCTGGGGTAGTTTGGTGTTGACAATGGACGCCATGGCTGCATAGATGGGCGTAAAGGGCAAACTGGCCGCCTGCGCCTTCATGATGGAACGACAGAACAAGCCGCGTCCACGAACCAAGTTTTCACCAAAGAGTTCGGGGACGATATATTTGATATTGGAGACATTGACTTTGTTGATCAGACCGTTGATCGACTTTTTCAGCGCCTCCCAGGCCATGCGCTGGTACTCCTTGCTGGTCTTGTCGGTGATCTGGGCCTGCAGCGCACGAAGTCGTGCTGGGGGGGATATATGTGCCACCGGATCGCATATTCAACAGCTTCTCGTACTCCGCCTTGGCCGATGCTTGCTTTTCCTCCTCGGTCATGGGCTTGCGAGCAGCCTCCTGCTTTTCATGTTCGCGCACTCGCTCGGCAAGCTGTCGCTCTCTTTCAATTGCGCGATCATCATCCATCCGAGGCACATCGACATTTTCCCTGCTCTGAGAGTCACCCGGTGGCGACCGACGACGATTGGGGGAGGGCGACCGAGAAGGAGGTGAGCGCTTTCGAGAGGCTGCGGTTGGGGAGTCGGCGCCCGGGGGAGGGGTGGGCACACGGACCGCAGATTGTAGGACCACTGGATCCGACATTATGAATACTGGAGGAGGTCCAATAATCCAAATAGCGGGTGGAGGGGGGGAGGTGGAGGGGCGAAGCTCCTGGTCGATAAGTGGTTGCGGATCGAGAGCAGCTGGAGCGGATTAGAACCTTTTTCGCGCGTGTCACGTGATAGCTCCTGACAGCGCGACAGATCGCCAGCGCCGGCCACGCTGGTCTCCGCTGCAGCTCTCCCTTCTTTTTCTCTTGGGCTTGTTCCTTGTCATTCCTTTCTTTTTTATAAGCGATCACTTCTTCCACAGAATGGTATTGTCTCTTCCTCTTCCAGATTGTTGCGCCCTATCATGACCTTCCACTAATCGAGAGATCTAGCTGGGTCAACTCGTGGGTTCCGCCATGCTTTTGGCCGCCACCGCAATCTTTCTCTACTATACCGCATGGACACTGTTGATGGTATGATATTGGAAAGGAATCTGGTTGAATCTATCTGAATGATTGCTAATCGTTGTCAATAGCCATTTGTCGACCCGGGCCACCCTCTCCATGACATCTTCCCTCCGCGCGTCTGGGCCATCCGTATCCCTGTTATCCTGACCCTCCTGGGATCGGCCGTGGTTGGTACCTTCATAGGCATCGTCATGATCAACAGCAACAAGAAGAAGGCGGCCAAGGCCAAGGCTGCGGCTAAGAAGAAGACCTAAGTGACGCGGTGGCATCTTAAAAGGGGGAAGGGGGAGGCAGATCTGGGGATGTATCCCAACGGATGGAACTATGCGATTCCGGCCCCACGGGCCTTTGTATCATCATCTCATCCACGCCTGTTTTGGATAACTTTCTTCTTCCAAGCCAAGGATTTTCTTACTCTTATTCTTACTGTTTGGGCTGATGGTCTGCTGGATTCATAAAGTTCACTCGGGATGGATGGCGGTTATCACCTATCACTATCACTATCACCTAATAGAAAAGTAACGTCACCAAAACAAAAGAAAACAAGATCTCTCCCTCTTTCTCTCTCCGGGTCTCTCTCTGCCGAGGGACCTTGCGAACAGGCCCCCAAGTATGAGGTAGGCAGTTCGCGCTTGGGCGATCCCAAGTTCCCAGGTTCCCGGATTCGCAAGTAAAACGAATGATGAAGGGGTTCGACCCGTGACCCTCGATGAAAGGCGGCTATGATCGGATTCCCTTGAATGGATCACTTGTTCCACGGATGACCGGGTGGCCATTTCTTAGCTAAGCCTTTGTTCTCTGAGTCGAAAGGCAAAGGCAAAAAGGCTCTAGAGTAGAGTGGGGAAGTGACATGCCCAGCTGCGCCGGAGAATGACGGGGTCAGCCTTTCCCCAAAGGCGCGCTGTCTGACTCAGGTACCGCGGGTCTTTCCCCCCTCTCAGTGTTTCCCCCTCCTCTTCTTATCTTCTTCCTCCTTTTTCCCCAAGGGTTCCCCCTTTGATCGCGAATACCTGACAACTGGAAACTTGAACTTGAACCTGAACTCAACACTTGATCTGACACTTCATCTTCACTCGTTGGACTTCCCCCCCCTGTCCACCCGGTGTTTTGCGCCTATCGCTCTTATCAACAGCTTCCCCGCGTATCGACGAGCGACTCCGCTCGACGATACGTTCATCAACAACAGCACCCCAACAAACACAACATCTTCCCCTGGCTAAATCGCCCACCTCGGACTATATAGGTGAGTATCCGTTGAAGATCTGGGATAAACCTCTTGGCCCTTCAGGGGTTCTATGATCTCCCTGCATGACAGATCGGTCCCTGATGTAACTGATCATCATCAGATCTACCGCCCCGCCTTAGTACCGACTGGCTAGCTTCAGCCCCGCCTTCGTTTGCATCTGAAGCAGTCGGTTCAACCTCCCTCTCTTCTCCGTTCTCAGACCCCCGGAAAGGTCTTGAGAGCGGTCGTCCTCGGCCTCCCTATCTTTTAGTTGCCTCCCAGAGGCATCTCTCAGGTGAATGCCCCCGGCAACGTCTGACGATCCGAATCGCCAGTACAGCCAGTCTTGGGAAGACGAGCCCACTTTCAATACGGATCAGAGTCGCCCAGTTCAGGAGCATGAGCCAAGTGGAAAGAGCAAAAAGAAGAATAAAAAAAAGGCTAAGGCAGCGGCTAAGGCTCTGACGGAAACCCCACCGGACCACCTGTACGATTCCCTCAGGTCTAGACCTAGACCCAGACCCATCTCCAACCATCCAAAGATCGCTAACACAATCTTTTCAGGCTCCAAGCTTCTCCGGTAGCCCCCGTCGAGCCCTCGTCATGCCCTGACCCCACGCTAAATAATGATGTTAACCCCGTCGTCGCTTCACCCGTGCTGGATGCCCTCGACACAATCGATGGGGCCGCCGAGACCGACGTCGTTACTCGTACAGACACCTGGGCCCAGTCTGTACCATATGGAAAGAGCCCACCCATTGATCTCATGGATGGTGAAATGCCCCATGAGTCGCCCATCAACTTCCCTGCCATCCAAGCGAGAGGTGGCTTCAGTCAACCTTCCTCGGCATCGCCACCCACCCGTATCCGACCCTTCAGTTACGGCAGTGGTTATCGAAGCAGTATGCAATCTCGACAGCCATCCGTAGACCGGAGGAAGAGTCAGTCATTTGGCAGTCCGCTGAGCAATCTCGTACCTCCTCCCCATCTTCCCCAAGCGCACTTTTACGGTGCTCCCGATATCGACCTTGGCGCCCAGCCCCGGCCTTCAAGCGATGCAGCCTACTCATTTTGTGGTTTTGACACTCTTCCCAGCTTCTCGGCGAAATCACCTCGGGCGGGGATCACCGTGTTGGTGGTAGGCTCTGATGGTGCCGTGGAGATCCTCGCTGTTGAAGACCGCCGGACGCGTCTAGTTGGCCAGATCACTGGTCTCGGTGGCAGGGTTCTCGAAGCAAAGATCTTGTCTGGACAGTCATACAATGACTCACTTGCAGCATCTCAACCCCACATTGCAGTCACGATCCACGGCCCGATTCCCCCAAGTGACGAGGAGGCGCCCGCTTCCTCTGCAGGCTCCGATGTTCATGAAGCTCCCCCTTCGATGGCGCGAGGCCGTTCGGGTGATAGAAGATCTGAGCCTTCGCTGTATCAAACCAGAGTTCAGGTATATTCCCTGCGGTCTGGAACACACATTGCCATGTTGTTCGCTAGCAAAGCTATGCCGGCGTTGGAGAATATTCCCGGCCAGCCTTCTTTTGCTCCTTTGCCTATTGGAAGCCTGAGGCTTTTCACGAGTGGAAATCATCTGGTGGTTGCTTCTGGCATTAGCGGGGAGGTTTATGTCTTCCGATACACCTCACCAGATATCTATCAGTGTTTGGGGAAGACCTGGACTAACGTTCAAACCGGAGAAATCCGACGATATTCCACCTCGTCGAGTTCTACCGATCCTGATGGTTCTCACAGCGACGCTCCCCGCACATTTCCTACCGAGCGACCTATATTGGCCTTGCAAGGAAGATGGTTGACTATCGTGCCCCCTTCAACTTCTTACCGGGGATCGATCCAGGGCGTTGTACCCCCGGGTTTGATGCATGACAAAGCCCAAGGATTGGAAACTCGCAGTCCTCCTAGTGTGCCATCTGTCAACTGTGCAACTGACGTGGGAGAGGGAGAGAGCTTCCTTAATAAGATGGCTCGAGGTGTTACCCAGGAACTGGTGAAAGGTGCCCGCTGGATGGGTGACCAGGGACTCCAGGCCTGGAATAACTACTGGAATAGCCCACAGGCCCCCGGCACGCCACCTCCCTCTCGACCAAATCGGCTTCCTGAGAATATGGCTCAAGGTTATGGGGTATTCCCTCCGACTCATGCTCAGGACACCCAGGCAACGTCTTCGCCCGAGCCAGATACGGTTTCCATCATTGACCTCAAGCGCTTTGATGACGGCGTGGATACAAAATCCGCATCACTTTATCCTTTGGCTACCTTCCAGGTTCCCAACGGCTGCAGTTTTCTCTCGCTATCCCCTAATGGCCTCATGCTCTTCACGGGTAGCAAGAAAGGGGATGTTCAATATGTTTGGGATCTTATGCAGCTCAAACATTGTCGAGCGATGGCTTTCATCGCTGATGATCACTCTTCTCACAGCCCGAATGTGCGACAGGTGGCGAGATACGCAAGATTAACCACGTCTAGCATTATGGATGTGATATGGACACCACCCGTTGGGGATCGGTTGGCAGTCATCACAAGAAAGGGCACAGTCCATGTCTTTGACCTACCTCAGAGCGCATTTCAATGGCCGCCATTCCGACGAGCTCGCTCCGCAGGGAAACGATCGTCGTCCGTTGAACCTGCAAGCGACGATGTCTCTTTCCAACCGAACACTGGCAATCCGTTGTCTGCGGCGATGAAGCTTGTTGGAGGCCGGACTCAGCCGTTCTTCTCTGCTGTCAGGGACCGTGTTCCTTCATCTGGCGCGGGGTTCTCGGGTATGAGTGGATTTGCATTGCCAACTGCAGCTAGCATCAAAGGTGGGAAGGTTGTGGCCGCTGGGTTGAGCAAGTCCATGGGTGCGGCTGCCACGGGTACTGTCCACACTCTCCGACATGTCGGTGAAAACCGGCTGCATCTGACTGGTCTTGCGCGGGACCCGGCATCCTCTCGAGTCATGTGGGTTTTAAATAAGGGTTCTGTTCTCCTGGGAGTGGTCGACGATGGGAATTTCAAGCTATACCGACTCAAGAAAGGTCCCACAAACCAGAAGAACCGCCAGTTTCACTCTGTGATAGGTGGCAAAGAAAGTCAGTTCAAGCTACCTGCCAACTTGCAGAACACCTGTGGCCCAGCAGCTCTTGTGGCGTATGATCCAGGGGTGGTTGTCCATGCCTCTCTTCTCCTACCATCGGTCAGCTCGCAACCAACCAGTGCTGCCAAACCGTTCTGCCAACCTCTTTCTCAGGCTGAGATTGAGACCAACACCCCATACCAACCTTTCCACACAGATCAGCGTGTCAGTCTTCATGTCTTTTCTACGGAGACTGGAGCGTCTGTTCCCAGCGGTCAGTGGGTGTTTGGAAATGACATGCCTACCACGAAAGTGCACGTCAGATCCTACAGCAACAGCGGTGATAGCAATGGGGATGATGACGATGAGAATGCCGCCGTTCATGGACATTCTCTGGGGGCTGGTGGGGATATGGAGAACCTCATTACCCTTGGAAACAGCACTGGCAACGTGGAAGAAGTGGTCATCACGACCCGACGCAAGAAGAAACACTCTACTCCTCTGAAGGCGGATGATGGGTTCTTTGAAGATGACTGCGAAGTCCTAGACTTCGCGAGGGATCGGGTTTGATTTTCTTTCTTTCTTTCTTTCCTTTTTTTTTTTGCATTGCCTCCGTCTCGGATGCTGATGATTTAGACTTCCATTTTCTGCTCGCGCGGCGTTGAAGACTTGCAGCTGGAGTTTTGGGCTTTTTCCGCTTCTTTGACCATATCTAAGAAATTGCATCAGATGTATCCTCTTCGTGGGATCGTTCTGCCTGTTCTCTTTTCGGTTCTTTTATCTTTGCTTTCCAGCACTTTTTTGACACCACACTGCTCAACAGAAATTACAATACCCCCAACCCTGTACTGATTTTGTTTTACAATTTTGATAGATGGAAGGTTTTTTGCATGCTCAGTTTTCACCCTCTCTTTGTGTCCGTTTCATAATGTTTTGAGTCTTCTCTCTCTTTCTGTCTTTCTTGGGTTTCGAAGTGACTCCGAAGGGCTCTCACTCCTCCCCTCTCTGGGATGACGATCTGCCTATCACTCGTTTTGGGCTTAATCGCAATACAACGAATCAAGCCTTATCCGGCTCAACAATAATCAACATAGATAGTTTTTGTCCTGGAGAATGATAATAGAGCAGAGCAGAGTAGGTATCCCATCTCTGTACTTACGAAGAAACAACCTCCATCTCCTCCTCCCACCACCCGCGAAAAACCTTCAATCTCTCCGTCCGCACCCTAGCCATCTCCCTCCCAGTCTGCGTCTTCATCATCCCCTCCAAAAGCTCCAACTTATCCCCAAAATGCTCAATAGAATTATTCATATCCCACTTCCCATCAACAAGAAATTTCTTTCCCTGCGCACCGAGAAAGGTAAACGTCCGCCCAATCCCAACAGCCCCAATCGCATCCAGACGATCCGCATCCTGAACAATAGCCAGTTCAATAAATCCCTCCTCATCAATTAGTCGTCGAATCACGGATGGATCCTTGATCTCGGTTGAATACGAAACATGCGATACAATCGTTTGAACCCTTGAGGCTAGAACTTCCGTGGCGCCGTTCTTGATGAGAGCGTGATGAACCATGGTCGTTGGGTCGAGGGTTGAGGCTTGACTGTCTGATTCTAGTACGGACGCAAGACTATGTAGGTACTTCTTATCTCCGATGTCGTGGAGTAGAGCTGCGAGTTTGACGACGGCTCCGGAGTAGGGTGTTGTTGGGTGTAAGGCGCGCTCGGAGGTGAGGATCTTGTTGGCCAGGGCTACGACTCTGTGGACGTGGGCTGGGTTGTGGGAGGGGTCGTGACCGGACATGCAGGTGTTGACGAATGTTGACATTGCGTTGTAGAGGGTTTTGAATTGCGGGCTTGTTTCGTCCATTGTGGTGGTTGTTTGCCCCGCTGTGGGCAGGCTGTGAGGATATTAGTTGGATTCTTGGAATTTGATGTAAATGTAAATGTTCAAGTTCGAAATGGTAGGTGGTTGTTCTTGGAATTCAAGCTTCTACCTAGGTATGTATTAACTGACCGTCAATATGTATGTGAAATTCAAGTTGTGTAATTGGGGAAATATATATGCAGAACTTGAACTTTCCCCGCAGTAAACAAGAAATTCGTTGGCGGTGAAGGTGAAGGTGAATCCCGAGGTGCCTTAGCCTCGCTGCAACCTTCCCCCTTTCCAAAGGCTGGAACCTTGCAAGGCTCAACTTGAAGTTCAAGGTTCTCTTTGTTTTCCCCTGCGCCCAATGCATCCAGCCTACTGACCCAGTGCCACCTGCAGTGCAGATTCAAATTCGACTATCCTGCCCAACGTTCCCATGCGGGGAACCTACAAGGGTGGGTCCTGATCTACGGAATGCGACAGCTGGATTACTACAGGACGCCCAGGTGATCGACGCGTACTTACCGTACAAGCACACTAGCTATGCTACGGATGTACTGTACCCATTGGAATAAAGCCCGAGGAATGCGGGTTCTAAAAAAGGAGTCTAACTAATGTACGAGGTCATGCGGACCGACGCTTGGGAAAGGGAAAGATTTACCCTTGGGGAAAAAAATAATTCATCATTCACTTCAAGTTGCAATAGGGCCCTAAACCAGGTAATCGAATACTATCACACATGTGGAAAGAAACTAAAAAATAGGGACCGGATCAGATCATCATGTTTGATGATTCCATCGTCGGTTCTCCTGGATATTAAGAGAGAGAAAAAATGGTTCCGAGACACCCATTTGCACGAGGACACGATACGCTTAGAGAGCGAAGGCGGCGAGGACCAGGCCGAAGAGGCCAGCGCTGGAGGCGCCGAGCTTGACATTGGCGTTGGCGGCGTTGCTAGTGTGGGCAGAGCCAGTCTCGGTGGTGCCACTGGCGGAGCCGCTAACGGTGCCGGAAGCATTGGCTGGAGGAAGTTAGTTAGGGCGATCTGATCGTCAATAGAAAATGGTAGGGAATTGGGAGCACATACAACCAGTCTCGGTGCTGGAGGAGCTAGAGCCAGTCTCGGTGGCCGAGCTGCCAGAGGCAGTGGTGCCAGAGCCGGAGGAGCCAGTGGCAGAGGATCCGTCAATGGGGAAGTAGTGGGAGCTGAAGCAGGCTTGCTGGCAGTCGGTGTACTTCTTGGTGTCGGCAGCAGTGCCAGTACCCTGAGGGCAGGCGGCGACACAGCTGTTGGTGTCGTTGACCTGGGTCTTGTCGGGGCAGGGAACCTTGTAGCACTTGGCGATACAGCAGATGTCCTTAGCGGTACCTGCAGGTCAAAGGAGTCAGCAGGGGGAGGAGGGAACGGGGAATTTGTTGTGGTTCTTCGCATACAGCTCTTTGCGCACTGGGCCTCAGCAGTCAAGGTGGTGGTAGTCTCAGCTGCGGTGGTGGTGGTGGTGGTCTCAGCGGCAGCGAGGGCCAGCAGAGCAGAGAGGGCGAGGATGTTCAGCTTCATGGTGAAAGGTGGGAAGGTTAATTGAATTGAAATGGACTGAAATGAATAGAATGAGAAACGAAGGTAGCGACAGCAGATAGTGCAGGTCAACGAAAGACTTTGGGGAATGAGAGGGAGAGAGGCAGAAGGAGAAGAAGGAAAGCTGAAGGGAATAAATAGTCGCCTGTTTGGGTTTTTTTCCCTGTTCCCCCCCTCGGACCACCAGCCTGGTGAACAAACTCCTCTCTTCTCCTCACTTTTGCCCCAAACAAGGGCCACCGAGCTCAATCGAGCAACTAGAAGATTAAAAAAAGACCAGGGTGATTGGGGCGAGGACGCTCATTCGTTGGGTCTCAGATTTGACCCATCCGGGTCTTTCTACCTGTTTCTCGCCAGGGTCCAAGGGTACATCCGCGCTAAGGAATGGCCTTTCCAGTTGGTCCAATGGGGACCCCAGTTGATGGAGGGATCGCCTGAGGGATACCCTGTTGGGAAGAAAAGGTTCTCATCTGGTGCATATCCCTTACCCTATCTTTTTGCGCTAACGGGGCCCCTCGGTGGATCTGTCAAATCTGGGGATGCTCGGCTGTGCCCGCGATCGACTGTTTGGATCCTGGATGGCACTTGGTGTACTTGGTACACTTGGTACGAAGTGCAGAGTACTATATGTACATCGCCATATATCAATGGCTGTGACATTCATGATTCTAATCTGACTATCCCATGGCTCCCCGGTCTCTCTCTGCCCCTGCCCATGGTACCCCTAGGTAGCGTGGCTGACGCAGGGACACTACTGCAATGGCCACTGGTAATCTGCGTGAGGGAGTGGACCCTCACAAATCTGCAAGTGATGCCCCTTCGGAGACATGATATTGATTTTGATGCGCTACAGTTTGGGGGATCCCCCATGAGAATTACATACGAGATGGATGGCCCACCAACACTGAATCCACCCGAATCGCTGAAGAGCTGAAAAGCTGAAAAGCTGAAAAGCTGAAGAAACGAGCACGGAGAGTGAGTGCATTGACTTAATTTTAATTTGTTTTGTTTCCAATTTCCTTTTTACTCTGTACTTTGTAGTCTGCCCTGAAATCAAAATTGCAATTGTGACTGTCCTTTTTGCCCCTGCAGGAACAAAACAAACAAAACAAACACTTTGGCAATGATCACATGACATCGCGACGCGCCGCGGCGCGCAAGAACACACCAGGACACCAGGACACTCCGAAGCTTTGGAAGCTTGAAGCTTGGGCTCACTTTGGAGATAAACAGGCGACATGTCCGACTCCGAGTCGGACTACTTCGATGATGATGACTTTGTTGTCCCAAGTACCCCCGCCGACCACCTCCCTTCACCCCGACCTACGAAACGCCGTCGCGTTCACTCGCCAGCACGCGGGGCAGGTCTCATCGTCGATGCGGCGTCCGAGACCGATTCGGTCTTGTCGATGGATGATAGTCTGATGGAAGATCGCCGCGACCCATCCTCCGACTATGAAGATCTCCAGCAGCGACCCAGAAACCGGAGCTTTGTTCCGAAACAAAGCAATTTCCAAGAGAACATGTTTGTCACGCAACTCACGCAACCCGACTCCAGCCCTGAACGCATTCGAGGTCCTAGATGGAAAAAGCCGGATCCGAAATCGCCCACTCCGGAACCGATCCGAACTCCCGAATTGAACAATTCAAAGCGACCCTCAAACAATTATTACAATGAGGAGGAAGAACTGAGGGCGGCGCTGGCTGCTTCCCTGGACGCATTCGAAGAGGAGAAGCCATTCAGAACTGCATGGGAGCCGCAAAAACCAACAAATACAGGCCATCAGCAAGCAATGTCCAACCAGGCTCATGAAACTCCGTCGCTGGATGTCTCTTTCGAGCTAAACGACATTCCTGACGATGCGTTCGACTCGTCCCCAAATCTCTCGCCGGTATCCCGACCTGGGCAAACAGGTTCCTTCCAAACGAGCTTCTCTCGCCCTACAGACCATCCAAAAAACACTCGCCAAAGTACTCTTTACGGGATGACAGCACAGAACCTGGACCTCCTACCCCAAGAACAAGACCCGTCGCCGCCGGATAAGGTCGAGCGTCCAACACAACACAAGCTCAATCAAGATGCCCTCGACACATGGTGGTACCCGACAAATTTAGGGAAAACACGAGACTATCAGTACAATATTGCCCAGAGAGGACTCTTCCATAACCTGCTGGTTGCGTTGCCGACTGGTCTGGGAAAGACCTTTATCGCGGCAACCGTCATGCTCAACTGGTTTCGATGGACGAAAGATGCGCAGATTGTATTCGTTGCCCCGACCAAACCTCTGGTTTCACAGCAGGTCTCGGCGTGTCTAGACATTGCCGGCATACCTCGATCGCAAACAACAATGCTTACTGGAGGCGCAGCACCCGGAATTCGCGCAGAAGAATGGCAATCTAAGCGCGTATTCTTCATGACACCGCAAACGCTGATAAACGACTTGAAGACTGGCATTGCTGATCCCAAGCGTATTGTATTGCTCGTTGTCGATGAGGCTCACCGTGCGACTGGTGGCTATGCCTACGTTGAAGTGGTCAAATTTCTACGGCGCTACAATCAAAGTTTTCGCGTCCTCGCGCTGACTGCAACACCGGGATCGACCGTGGAATCGGTCCAGGCAGTTATTGATGGGCTGGACATCTCGAAGGTGGAGATCCGTACAGAGAACTCCATTGATATTCGGGATTATGTGCATGCCCGCAATATCGAGATCGAAACATTCGAGAATTCCGAGGAGATGCTCTTCTGCATGGATCTTTTGTCCACAACACTGCGCCCGTTGGTTGAGCAGTTGACGACTCTGAATGCGTATTGGGGCAGGGACCCCATGGCACTCACAGCATATGGTCTCACCATGGCCCGGCAAAAATGGATGCAATCAGACGCTGGCCGAAACGCACATTTTGGGTTGAAAGGCAAAGTCAATGCGATCTTCACGTTACTTGCCAGTCTTGCTCATGCTATCGACCTATTGAAATTCCACGGCATTGTGCCCTTTTATCGCCATCTGCACCACTTCAAGTCTGGTACTGATGGCCAGAAAGGTGGAAAATATCAGAAGCAAGTTGTGCAAGATGAGAGCTTCAAAAAGCTCATGGGTCATCTTGAACCTTGGAGCAAAAACCCCGAATTCATTGGCCATCCGAAACTCGAGTATCTCAAGTCTGTCATTCTCAATCATTTCATGGACGCGGGCGAGGGCGGGAAACTGGTGAAAATACCGGCCAGCCGGCCACTCGAGTGATGATTTTCGTTCACTTCCGTGACAGTGCCGAAGAGGTGACCAGAGTGCTGAAGCGTTATGCACCCATGATTCGGCCCCATATCTTCGTCGGCCAAAGTAGTGCCAAAGGCTCCGAGGGTATGGACCAGAAGACCCAGCTCAAGATCATTGAGGAGTTCAAGGCTGGAAAATATAATACGATTGTCGCTACCTCAATCGGAGAGGAAGGTCTAGATATTGGAGAAGTGGACCTTATTGTCTGTTACGATTCCTCGGCCTCTCCAATCCGCATGCTACAACGTATGGGTCGAACTGGTCGTAAGAGAGCAGGAAACATCACCCTCTTGCTCATGAAAGGCAAGGAAGAAGATTCCTATATCAAAGCCAAAGACAACTATGAGAAAATGCAACAGATGATTGCAAGTGGCTCTCAGTTCACCTTCCATGATGATCGATCTGCTCGTATTCTCCCTGCTGGAATACGCCCGACACCTGATAAGAGGATCATCGAAATCCCACCAGAAAACTCTCAACAGGAACTACCCGAGCCAAAACGCCGAGGCCGAGCGCCGAAGAGACCTCCAAAGAAGTTTCACATGCCTGATGATGTTGAGACAGGGTTTACTCGAGCTTCTACGTTGGAGGAGGGTTTTAGCAAAGCAAAAACAAAACCGAAAGCGAAAGCTAAGGCACCAGCGCCAAAACCACGATCTCGCACACCCACCCCTGAACCTGTCGATATCCCGCTTTTGGAGGAAGTTTTACTAAATGCGACTGAGGAAAGTGAACTCGAACATCATTATCAGAACATTGGGGACACATCGCCGGAGTTCATTAGATATCCGCGTCACGATGCATTTCCACGCTTGCAACTTGTTGCGAGACCCACCAGAACCGTGCGGCATGGTTCTCTTACACAACGCATGATCACTACCTTGCAGAAGATGAATCAGGCCGGTCCTGATTGTGAAGCAAGATTCAAGCAAGTCTTGGCTCGCGAGTCTGCTACTCCTCCTCGGCCATCTTCGAAAGTCTCGAAGACGTCAACCGAGAAGCGTCGATCGAGCAAGAAAGCAACCAAGACGCCTCGACAGTCCAATTCTGGCAAGAAACCCACAAAGACTCCAGCTCTAAGTCCTCAAAATGCGGAAATTGCCGCTCTTTTGATGTCTCCAAATACGTCTGATATAGAATCAAACCCCAAGAGGAAGTCTGTTCAACGGCCTTCATTGCAGGATCGAATGGACGTACCGCAACCTCTCCAGCAGGTCTTGAACCCCCCAGAAAGTGACCTCGGTCATGATGGGTCCGACTTCGATCTTCCAGATGCCAGCATTTTTTTCGGGAATGACTCGGATCCAGAGCCAAACCCAAAGCCAAGTGCTCGTAATAACAGACCGGTTATTCAGGACAGTGATGATTGGTGAGAGCTACCCTAAACCTTGAATCCTTCGGGGGAGTCTCTAGAATGTTACGAGTTATGGTCAAATGTACATATACATGTGTTGTGTTGATAGCAGATAATAATCAAACTGGGCCAATCGTCGAATTGACCCAAATTTCCCTTGGTGCCCCTTCTTACGATGCCTCAATGGTGTTCGTCGTCGTAGTTGTAAATCGCCAATTTTGCCGCCACGCCCGAGAATCCCATGCGCACGCACCTCCAACCATCAACAACTTGCCCGAAGATCAGAACATACTCCAAAGTCCACAACCCCCCTCTCCTCCACCATGGCCGATCAACAGTTTGACAGCGCGCTGTGAGTACTCTAAATAGTGACACCCAACACAATTGCATACCTGGATTCATCCCCAATCCAGAACCGGGCCATCGACAATGCCAGGCCCGCCCGCAACCCCGCCCCATGTGCATGATGATGATGATGGAGAGAACCACCAAGCTGACCTGACCATGCCCCTCCTCCCAGCGACCTCCTCCGACGCCTCAACCCGCGCGACACCAAGAAGAACCTTAACGCCATCAACTCCATTATCCCCGAGCTCCAGGAAGATCTCCTATCCTCCGTCGACCAGCCCCTGGAGGTTCGCCGCTGCCCGCAGACCAACCGGGACTACCTGCTCTGCGACTACAACCGTGACGGCGATAGCTACCGTTCACCATGGAGCAATGAGTTCGACCCCCCACTGGAGGATGGTACCGTTCCCAGTGAGAAGGTGCGCAAGCTCGAGGTTGCGGCGAACGAGGCCTTTGATGTTTACCGTGAGCTGTACTACGAGGGCGGAGTCGGAAGCGTCTACTTTTGGGATTTGGACGATGGATTTGCCGGCGTTGTTCTCCTGAAGAAGGGTAAGATAAGAATTATCTCGGGGTCCCACGGGGTATCCCAGGCGAGAGATATGAACTCTGGCTGATTTGTTATGTTCCAGGTGTCACTCCCGGTTCCCAGAGCTCCGGCGAATGGGATAGCATTCACGTTTTCGAGGCGACTGACCGCGCCCGATCCTCCCACTACAAGCTTACTAGCACTGTTATCCTCCACCTCGCTAACCAGAGTGAGGCTCTCGGTGACATGGACCTGAGCGGTAACATGACCCGCCAGATCGAGGCTGATCTCCCTGTCGAGCAAGGGGATGCGAGCCATATTGCGAATGTGGGTAGACTGGTGGAGGATATGGAATTGAAGATGCGCAACCTGCTACGTATGTACTCCGCAACCCCATCGTTCGAGAGTGGAATTGGGAATGCTAACTGGAGTGTGTGTGATCTATACAGAGGAGGTTTACTTCGGCAAGGCCAAGGATGTCGTGGGTGAACTGCGCAGTAAGTGGCCATTCTTCTCCCTCGGGACAGTCATTTATCACGGTATGACGAATATTGACAACTTTCTAGGTCTGGCACCTCTATCCGAGACAAATCGGGACCGAGCAGCACAGCTGGAGATGATCAAGTCCATGCAGAAATAATTTTTTGATAGATTCAGCACTGTCAGGTTAGCGGCTCAGGAGCCCATGCTAGACTGTCTATTGTTGCGTTCTTTGCACAGCTTTAGCTTTATGAACATTGCGCGAATATTGTCCATATAATGGGACATCTTGAAGATGAAGATGAAGTGATTTATTGATGCTCATTGGATTGTTTCGGTGCGATAAAATGTAGTATCTTGCGCCAGCCATGCTGGATTTGGGGGGTATCATAAAGAACTTAAAAGAAATATCGTTTCGCCCGATGCTTTTCCTCGAGAAGCGCGGATAATTAACCTATCCCATTCCTCAATCAATCGACCTGCATTTTCTCCGAATCTCCATTAGACTGAGAGCCGTCCACGGACTTCTGATCCAAATCCGCCACAAATTCCCGGGCAGCCGCCCAGAGCTCCGCCTCTTTATCCTTGCCAACAGTATCCTTCCGACTATTCAACCAACTAACATCCAGAGGATTGGAAGGTCCAGCCGCAGCTACGGGCCCAGTGCCGGGATTGGGACCACCAGCTCCGCCGGCAGCTGTCGCATCCGTTCGTTGAGGGGTATCAGGACCCAAGACAGAAGCTTCTTCTAGCGCGTAGAGCTGCCTGCGTAGTCGTACATCGATGGAGGATAGTAGAGCGAAGTATTTTGAGGTGGCCTCTTTGAATTGTGTTTTGTGGGATTCGAGGGAGGCGGGTCCTGGTGAGGAGGAGTCTGAGTCTGGGGTTGCATTTGTGAGGGCCTGGATGGCTAGACCGGCGGAATTAATGAGTTGCGCGACATCCTGATGTTTGGTTAGTAGGGAAGATCGAAGATAGTACTACTTCTAGAGGTGTTCTTACCTTGTCGATGTCATTGAGTTGGCGAATTCGGTCCGCGGAGGTGAAGGTTTGCGGGGGAGGTAGTTCGTCCGCCATTATGTGGTATGTTGAAAGATTGAACAGCTAGGTTTCGTCGACAGAGTTGATCGATTATCCTGAAAAGTTGCCCCGAGGTATCAAGACTCAAGAACGACGATCGCCAGAGCTCTGGAGGTTCAAGTTCCATCTTCTTCTTCTCCGCCTGTTTGCTGCCGCGATCACGTGTAATCCCAGAAAGGGCTGATTCAGCGGCCGCGCCAACTTCAACAGTATCAAATTCCATCGCAGGTCGCGATCTCCTATATTCGACTCCTCTCGACGCCTTCTTGCCGTGATTATATTTGGGCCAGCATATCGGCACCAGCGTCTTCGCCGAAGAAATTGCCATGTCCGCGCCCGGCGGTGCCCCCAGTCCCGCGCCGCGTAGCGGCAGCATGGGACCTGGCGCAAATGGAGGCAATATGCCCATGTCCCAACAGCCTTTGTCTGGCACTCCGGTGCAGCATGCGCCTACACCAGGCCCGCCTCCGCCGCAGAGTGGTGCAATGTCACAACAGAATCTGAATCAAATCGTGAGTACTTCTTTTACTCTCTTATCTTGAGCACCTTGTTTCTCCCGCAATTCCCCTCCTGAGAAGCTTCGAGTTGGCTTAAAAGTCCGGGTCCTGTATCTTCACTTCCATCTTTGTTTCCCTTGCAAGTGTATTGTAACTTGAAATGGTCATGGTGTCCAATTGGCCATGTGTCCTTGCTGTGGGTGTATTGTTTCTGCATTGCGTTTTCTTGAACCTGAAATGTATGGCGAATGGCTTCATTGCGCGAAGTGAGAGAGAGAGCATCGGAAAAAATGCCTCAATTGTTCAAATAATGCTGCCATTATTTGACTGAGATTGAGTGCTTCGCTCTCTCACCACCAAGCGGGAATCATTCTGCTTCCCTGCCTTTTCTCACTTTGCCATTTCCCAATTCACTGCTTCACATCTGCACCTCTCCAACCCTACATCCAACCCATTCTACCTTCTCTCTTCTTTGAACCATCTTGATCTTCGATCTACACACCATGCCTTCCGGGGGTGTCTCCCAGCGGAGCCGCCGAAAACCGGCCAAAAAACGCTCGGATGGGCCTCGTCAGTCAGTCAGGCTGAGGCTGCCAGCTCCTCCGGCTGGTTCTTCAGAAAGACCTGACCGAAACCTGCCCACTGCACCTTCGCCTCCTAGGCAACAGACGATTCCCTCCCTGATTACTTCATACATGATTGATAAACCCGATGGACCTTCTATTGTCGGTCTTGTCGTGCTTGTTTTTCGCTTTCGAAGATTCGCAGTCTAACTCTCGAGGTGATCTTAGGTTATCGATTATCTGGCCAAGAAGGGCTACAGCCGGACTGAGGCCATGCTTCGCATGGAGTCTGCGAATCAAGAGATTGATGGCAGACCCTTGCCTCCACTTGGAGAAGATGCCCGGCCCAAGTTCAAGCAGGGGTTTGATTTGCTTAAAACATGGGTCGAGGAGAACCTAGACCTCTACAAGGTATGAATGAGACGCCCCTGAAGCATTATAATTTCATCGTTTGTACTGATTATTCCCTAGCCCGAGTTGCGCCGCGTTCTGTGGCCTCTCTTCGTTTACTCATTCCTGAACATGGTTACCTCATTTTACCCTCAGGATGCGAAGCAGTTCTTTGAATCGAACAAGAACATGTTTCTCCCAGAACACACGGATGACATTCGTGTCTTCGAACCCATTAGTCTGCCGGAACACGTCCAAGATAATTCGACAGCGAAACTCTACCGCACTAACAAGTACCGCGTGGTATTAAGTAACCCGGCTTACACTAACCTTCTTCAATTCTTGGAAAGCAAGGAGAAGGAGGGTGGCTCAGTGATGAATGCCATCCTGAGTAGCTACTGCGTTATTAAGACGATGGACCGCGCTGCTGATGATCGGTTCAGTTTTGCTGCCATGCTCGGCCAAATTGGAGCTGGTCAGAGCTTCCCTTCCGAAGATGAGGGTATTCCTGGCCATCACCCTGGTTCAGCTTATACAGGTGATAATCCAGCCATGGCCGGAACCCTGCCCAGGTTGAGACTGGGAAAAATGCCAATGGAGCAGACTATGGAAGAGGATGTCCGTGCAGAATTGGCCGACGAGGATGTTAAGATACCTCCTCCTGCTGGGAAAAACACTTTCACGCAGGAATTTGACCAGATGATCAAGAAAGAGGAAGAAGAGGAAGCTCCTACGCGCGCTGATATTCCATTCCCACCCTCTACTGCTCGAGATGTAGCTATGGAGGTTATGAAGGTCAAAGAGAATCGGGATCGTTACAAACTGGATGGTCGCACTGGTGGCGTTGGACCGGGTATCAGTGTGTGCATGTTCACTTTCCACAACACCTATGACGGGTTAGTTTCATGTGGCGGCTTCTTTTCACGAATTTGATCTTACTGACACTCTCACAGAATCAATTGCATCGACTTCTCCGATGACAATATGCTTGTCGCAGCTGGATTCGCCCAGTCTTATATTCGCATTTGGAGTCTGGATGGCAAGAACATCGAAGCCGCATACCCGGAATTAGATGATATGCCCCCAGCCAACTCTCGACGACTCATTGGCCATTCAGGTCCTGTCTATGCCGTCTCTTTCGCTCCCTCTACCCCCAGAAATGAAGCTGCTACCGGGGACGACTACGTGCCCACAAATGTTCGCTGGCTCCTGTCCTCTTCCGCAGACAAAACAGTCCGCTTGTGGTCCCTCGATACTTGGCAATGCATGGTCGTGTACAAGGGCCATGACCGTCCCGTTTGGGACATTCGCTGGGGACCCTTTGGTCATTATTTCGTGACCGCAGGCAACGATCGGACCGCCCGCCTCTGGGTTACTGATCACATCCGCCAGCAGCGTATCTTTGCCGGCCATGACCAAGATGTCGATGTTGTCTGCTTCCACCCCAACTCCGCCTATGTATTCACCGCCAGCTCCGACCACACTGTCCGCATGTGGGCTGTCACAACCGGTAACGCCGTTCGCATGTTCACCGGCCACACCGGCAACATTACGTCCATGGAATGCAGCCGTGACGGAAAGTATCTCGCATCTGCGGATGACCAAGGATCAATTTTCCTATGGGATCTGGCACCAGGTCGCCTGCTGAAACGCATGCGCGGCCACGGAAAGGGCGGCATCTGGTCTATGAGCTGGAGCGTGGAGTCGAATGTTTTGGTCTCTGCCGGTGCCGATGGAACGGTCCGTGTATGGGACGTCGCCGCACCCCAAGATCCCGGACGTGTGATCGGCGAGGAGGCGCTGGCACCAAGCTTGATGCCGGAAATGCCGCGACCAGTGCGCCCGGACAAAGCAAGAAGAAGAAGGGCAAAGATGTTGTTGTCACGCCAGATCAGATCAGCGCTTTCCCGACCAAAAAGAGTCCAGTGTACAAGGTCAAGTTCACCAATATGAACTTGGTTGTTGCCGGTGGGGCCTATCTTCCTTAGATGGCGGCGGTGTATTTTCCTGGTAACTTCGGATGATCAGATTACTTACTTATCATCAACGGCGCAAATACCCCTGGTTTTTCTTCAATCATTCAAGTTTTTTTCTTACTCTATTCCAGAATCTCTTCGACGTCATTGTTCTCTGATGAAAATTAAAATCTGATGGCGTTTGGGATCGGGGTGCTGGTACCTGGGGTTGAGAGGATGGTAGCTTTCAACTTTTACTTGCTTTGTTTTGTTTTGAGGGATTGTATTTCTATTTCATGTCCCAAAGTCTTCCTCTCCCGGGCCTTCCAAGTTGTAGGCCAAGTTTTGTCTCGGCTTAATCAAATTTGACATGACGATAATGATCTTCTACTCCAAATGCCCGTAGAACTGGTTCAAAGACACCTCCGAGTCCAAACCCGGAGTAGCTGATATACAAACTATATTGATATCTAATGTGGCCATGCATTGGCTTCACCTGAGCACGTTTATGATATGAATATTCTCACCACAGGTCAACTTTACCCAACAAGAGACCTCGAGATCCAAATATTATTTTAACACACCGTGCTTTTCCGGCGTACCGTCGCTCTTCTTCATAGCAGCGGCTGCCTGCATATCTGCCACCTTCGGAGGAAGCACCAGCGCACTACGATCATTCCGCTTATAAAAGTCCACCAACACCTGGGCCGTTTTGGCCGGTTGGTCTTCATGGAGGAAATGGCCCGCTTCAGGGAAAACCTGAAGTTGATATTTACCTACAGTTCCGCAAAACCAGTCCAATTAGCAAAAAAGTGGGTTTGGAACAGCGGAAATTAGCAAAGAAATCAATCGTACCTTGCATCTGTCCTATCATCAGTTCTTTATCCAATCGATCAGTTCCAGCTAGTAGTAACAGCTTGCCACCTCGTGAATCGAGGAACTTTCCGCTGAGACCGATGAACCAATTCTCCCAAAAGGGTTTTGTTGCGGAGAGGTTGGTGCGCCACACCCATGGGCGGGTGGGGTCGGTAGGTTCGCTTTCTTCATATATCAAGGACGGAACTGATGCCCGCGCTGAGGCTGAATTGCGAATCATACGAGAACGGGTGCTAGAGAATTGATTAGTCCTGATGATTTAAAAGACGAGAGTTAGATGATCACATACTGCCATTCGATTCCCGATGCTAATGAAAGGAATCGGGTTGGGCGCGTAGAGAGGTACATTTCCATACTTTGGAGGGCATCCAGGGCGGAACCTGTGAAAACGGTTAGAAATCAATCCTCAAGTTCAAAGTCAATTCAATGGTGATTTACCCTCGACAACATCCAGGACAGCATAGGCTAGCACCTTGCTGCCTAAATCGCCTTGCTTTGCTAGATCGGTGATAACCGCGCCCCCAAGACTATGACCCACTAGAACGATATCGGGCAGATTCTCCCAGCCCATCTTCGCTTGGGTCTGGCGAATGACATATAGAAGGTCTCGGCTTAAAGTTTCAAGACTTAGGTCGAGCTCAACCTCACTTTCCGATTCGGCGTGAGCTGCCGCTGCGAGAGACGGATTTTTGGCCTCGAGGGGCTTTGAATGTGATGTCATCGTTGTTTGTCCGTGACCTCGCGCATCGAGGGAGAGAAATCCTGCCTTGGGGAGGATTTTCTGAATCTCGCTGATGCAGGAGGCGAATGTCAATCCGGATGAGCCTGCGCCATGGTGCAGAACAAAGAGAGGTCCTGATCCCGTTGGAGGTGTTAGGTAGGCATGATGGGTGATGTGAATTTGGTCGAGCTGCTCGGGAAAGAACAGCTCCTGGGCGAAGAAGTCTGACCAATTGGATGATTGGGAGTGACTGGAGAATGGTTAGTGCTTTCATATCTTGTATATTGTAAATGTCTCTCGACTAGGCGGAGGCGGACAACCTTGAGCTGGTTCGGGCAAAGAGATGTCGCGTGGGCGATGGCATGAGGGTGCCCGTCGAAGAAACGGAGGATGCGGAAGAGGCATCCTCCTCTGGAATCCCTTCGGGATTAGTTATTGAGTCGAACATTGGGGCCTCTGCAGGCAGCTTGGCCAGTTTGGACTTGGCGAAGGATTTCTGGAACTCGCTCATGGGGTTGGCGTTGCGGTTGCGGGTGGGGACACGGCGGATCCGTTGATTGAGGGGCAAAGTGAAGGCCAAATCAATGTTGATGTCAAACGTCCGGGAGATCGGAGATCGTAAGTTCAAGTTTGCTCATTCGATTACTCGGTGTTCTCACCGCTAGCACCTCCTTGCCCCCCAAAGTGTTGGTATATAAGGCAATTTGCAGTAACATGCGGGCATTGCTGTGATTTGCTGTGGATGAAGACATCCCGCTGACTAAGAGGGGCATAATGACATTCAAGTTGCCATTAGATCCCCAAAGGTATACAATACAATAATATCATTCGGAAAGTAGAGTTTAGCTAAATTCTAGACGCTTGTAGATACCAGTCATTGAATATTGCCTTCCCCTCAACGCTGGATTCAATCATGGGGCTGATTGAAAGTCAGTTCATGAGAGGAATCTAAGCATCGAATGCCCAAATTGAAGCATTCCTGACAGATATCAAGATAACGACAAAGGTCGCACGTGTAGGTGGCACTGTTGGAGATAATGTTTCGCATGCACGCATCACAAGGTCTAAATTTGTCGGACTCGGCTTTAGGACGTTCCTTGGTAGGTATAGCTTCCACAACATCATCGTAAGGCTCTTTAGCCCATTGATGGACCATTTTGATGATGCGATGAATTTCGCTTTTTGCTGCCCACCAGGACAAAGTTCGACCCAAGCCATCTTTGTGGTTGGCATCAATTTTTGACAAAGCAATTAGCATATCCACCGCTTCAATATGGCCTTGTCCAGCAGCATAGAAAAGTGGTGTTCGGCTGTATCTATCTCGAAACTCAGCGTTGTTGCTTGAGTATCGAGGAGGGCCATCATGACCACCATATGGCATTGATAAAGACAACATGTCCAGATGTTTCGTGGCCAATTCTCTCTCCATGCCTTCCTCAAGAAGCAGCTTCATCACCTCGGCATTTCCATTCACTGAAGCATAGTGCAATGGAGTAATTCCAACTATGTCTTTAGCTGCGAGGTGGTCCGCACCTCTCTCAAGAAGAAGTCGGGTAACCTGGGTATGACCTCCATATGATGCAAAATGTAGTGGTGTGATTCCACTTTTTGAGGGAATTGTGAGATCAGCACCTTTTTCGAGAAGCAATCTGGCAACCTCAGAATGTCCGTTTTCTGCGGCGTAGTGTAGCGCTGCCTGTCCGATTTTATCTGGGACTGCGATATCCACACCTTTCTCAAGAATTAACTTGACCATCTCATGATGACCCCTCGATGCAGCCAAGCAGAGGGGTGTAGTTCCATCATGAGCGGCAGTTGTAAGATTTGCGCCATATTCAAGAAGCAGATTTACTACCTCAATATGGCCTTGCTGACAGGCAGTACTGGCTGGTGTCCAGCCACGAGAAATTGGAATTTAGAATCTGCCCCTTTTTCTAGGAGGAGCTTCACTATTCCAGTGTGGCCGTTGAAAGAAGCTGAATTGAGCGGTGTCCAACCATCGTTCTTGGAATCGTGATATCGGCACCATTTTCTATCAGTAACCCACCACCTCAGAATGTCCGTAAAATGAAGCTGCATTGAGAGGCGTCCAGCCCCAACGATTTTGGCACGCAATATCAGCACCACTTTCTAGTAGCAACCTTACTACCTCCACGTGGCCGTTAGATGATGCCCCGTTGAGGGGCATGCTTCCATAATCATCTGGGACCATGACATCCACAACTTGCGCAAGCAGAAGTCTAACGATTTCCAAGTCTCGCTTTTCGCAAGCTGCAAAGAGATGACTGTCCTTCGTAGCTTTTATCATTGATATAGTTGAGCTTGGCCTGATTGAGAAGAAGCTTGACTAAATTTTCAAGTCCAAGCCAGACTGCATAAAACAGCGGGCCGGTTGTCTCGATTCTGGATGTCGTGTCAAGGCTCTCAGAGTCCATTTTCTTCGATTCGAACCATCTTTTCCATTGAAACCAACTGGGGTTATCTACATCAAAAAGTCTATTGATGAGATCCAACAGATCGGGATCGTTCATGCCACCAACAGTGGCATGATGGTGCCACGAATCCGCTGCGTAATCTTGGAATGAGCTGAGGACTTGGTCTTTCTCGGCATCAGAAGTTCCATGCCAGATTTTTTGACAGTTCACAAAGCGAAGACACTTCTTAGCAAGTCTCGTGCTCTCCGCATCTTCGGTGGAAATTGTGAACAACGTGTTGATTTGCGTAGGGATATTGCGAAGCAAGTACTCCTTCACTGAGAAATGCGCCAAGTTCACTGTCCTCAACCCAGCATCGTGATCTCCTTCTGGGCCTCTGATTTTGAGAAGAGATCCGCAAATTTCCAGTATCTCGGTATCAGTATAGTCCTCATCAATGCTGTCCGGCAGATCATCCAACAAGAGCTCGTCACAGTCGTCTTGATCTAAGACTGCAGCAGAAGTCTCAATGACTGTCAGTGGTCGCAGACTAAATGCGGCCCAACGAAGCAAGGAGAAGGCTCTGCTTCGATCTTCCTCTGGAAGCTGTGATATTTTGGTCCAGTTCCGCTCGTACAAGGTCTCGAGCCCAGCCGGTGTAGCATCAATAGCTTCTTCGAGTCGCTTTTGACTTTTTCCACTGCGTAACGTGTTTTGTTGCAGCTTGATCCACAGAAACTGACCATTACAGCGATCTGCAAGTCGCTGGGTAGTTTCTTCTCTTGTTGCGGCTGTTTTCTTCGGTAGCCTTTCGCTAACAATGCTTCGAGAGTAGGATAGTATATCATTCTCGTTATCTTCGGGCGTGATTCTATATTCCTGAATAGGGTCATGGGCACGGTCATTTGATAGAAAATGCCGAATCTGAGGTTCATCGCGGCTAACAATCAGGATTCGTGTAGAAGTGCCTGTGGTCGCCTGCCTCAATGTCTCTAAGAAACGGGCGGTGGAGTCACTAGTATTGACTACTGAGTGAGCTTCACTTATGCAGTCGCATTCATCTAGGCCGTCCAAGATAAGTGTGCATCCAGGATTAGTTGATACTACCTCCTGTAGAAGATTTACAACTTCTCCACGCGTTGTCCGTTCCCCTCGGGTAGTTTCCCATACATCACGAATGGATTCAAATACACCCGAGTGAGATATCAGCTGAGACAGCCAGGACCTTATAGCAATGAAAGGATTCCCTCGACTTTCAAAGCTGGACGAAAAGAAGAAGTGGGCGATTGGCATATCCATAGCAGATAGGTGTTCAACTATCTTCGCACAGAGGATGGACTTGCCAAATCCTGCCGGGCCGTTTACCCAGAGAAGCTTGGTGCGCCTTGATGGAAAATCGGGAGACGACCAGTTGGTAGACCAAGAGCGATCTAGGATTCACTCACAGGAGCCTAACACTTCTTTCGACGTATAATTCGTAAAGATCATTCGCGGAGTGACCACCCATCAGCCACGTTCTCAATTCTCGTATTGTCTCCTCTAGTACAATAATTAGTTAGGTTAAATATCAAAATCTACTAGATGGACTCGCCTTCGATCTCCGATCTCCTTTTCTATTCTTTCCATCACACTTCTGAATTCACCTAGCCAAAGCACTTGATCTAGATCGTCATGTCAGTCCAGTTTTCAATACAGTAGCCAGGATTCAACAACTTTACATACTGTCTTTTTCTCCTTTTGATACAGCATCTTTCTCCGCATCTGTAAGGACGAAGCTATGAAGATCATCCACCAGCGTCGAAAGCTGCGTCACCTGTGTAATCCTTTTTGCTTTTTTTCTCAAGGCCCAGCTTAGCTTCTGTCGTTTCGATTCTGGAGAGTCGTTGGAGTGAGCCTTGTTTCCGAATATTTGGATTTTACCGATTCTCCTTTCTGGCTCTATTATAGATATCCGAGAAAATCGATCTTCCGAGCCGTTGCTGCAGATTCTTTGATGGTTAGAAGAAGTGTTTGAATATTTGATAGCGTTCGCGGTTCATCAAGAAGCTTGTTATGGTTACTCGACAAGTGGCCCTGTTCGAAGCCGACCGCCTGACCCCATCTTTCTAGACGAATTTTGTGTGTTTCGAATTGGGCAGCCAAGGAGCGCGACTAATTTCCAAAGTCTTTCCACGAGTCAATTTTGTCGACGAGTTCCAAGCAAGTGTTGAAAAGACCGGCTAGTCCTATTAGTCCAACTGCGAAACTGACTGGCTCCATGCTTGTGTCAACTATCAAATATCAAATACTTTGACTGATGGAGAGTGAATTCAGGGATTGAAGACTTGCTGGCGTGAGAATTGGCCTCGGCTGACTGCGGGGTATCATTGCGTGAGGACAGAAGGCCTAAAGAGGCTGTGTTTCGAGTTGTGCTATTACATTTAACTAGTACCACACCCTGGCTTCTAGAGGATTCAAATATTGTATCATCTCGATAATATCATTGAATAGATACGGGTAGATATTCAACATGCCAACTCAACGTTACTCTCAAGGTATAGTTAGTGTTACCATGGAGTTGGTACCACGGTACCAGGGTTGAGTGCATGACGTCACATCTTATCGCGCCGATCATGGTTCGTTCCTTGAGTTCCGTGGATTTGTACAAGTACAGCAGCAGGAATTGCTCGCTTGCTTCTTCTTTTCTATCTCTCTCTTTGTCTCTGTTTATTCCTCCCATTTTTCACAAGTCATATCGCAGTCTATCAGCGAGAATGGTCTCCCTATGGGGCGCGAAGAGAGGCGATTCTGATCGATCACAGTCGCAGGAGCACAATGACAATGACGATGATGAACAAAACCAAACCCACCACCAGGAACCAACCGAACAGACGCGCCTACTTCCACGGGATGACAGTAATAACTTCCTGAGTCCAGATGATCCCGCGGTATGTACAGCTCTGCAGAAATGTTAGGAAGTGAAGCTAAGATTCCCAGGTCTCCCCCTACAACTTATGGAGCGTGCGCGCTTTGCGAGCCCTCTCCCTCTTCGCGCTTGGCATCAGCTTTGTCTGGTGGACTTTCCTCCTGGTGTCGATATTCGTCAGTCCGCCGCTCATACACACTCGCGGATCGGGCTTCTTCGCCTTCTCTTACACAACTCTCGCTGTTGGATACCTCGTGCTCGGTCTGCTGTTCTTCACGGTACCTTCTAAGCAAATGACCATATGGGGTCTTATCCTTTCCCTCCTCCTCTTGGTCAACATGATCATTATCGTGTCTGTCCCACATATCCGTCGAGAAGAAGGCGGAGTTGGAATCGCTTCCGTCGTCTGGGCTACGGTGATCTCTTTGTATCAGGTTGTACAGAACAGAACTGTTACATGGGGCAAGCGCGAGGAAGAAGAACGATTGACTGGGCGTGAAGAGACACGGCGATCGCTGCGGGAATGGCTCGCCGTACTAATCGAAATGATCTTCTTGGTCGTTATGGGTCTTGCCGTCGTCCTCTTCACCGCAACCCTGATTCTACGTGCCCGGGATGCATCGCTAGCACCCCAAGGAGAGCTTTATAGTGTTTACGGGGGCCTTTACAAAGTTCACCTCAACTGTGTTGGTAATCGCACAGCTGAAGATCCAGATCAGCCTACCATATTACTCGAGGGTGGTGGTGGTCCCGTCGAACATAGCCTGCAGCCATTCATCGATGACGCGTACCAAAGCGGCGTCATCAATCGATATTGTTACTGGGACCGACCGGGAATGGCATGGTCAGAGAATGCACCGTCCCCGCACTCTGCGGGGATGTCAGTGGATGTTCTTTCAGAGGCACTGGCTCTCGCCGATGAATCTGGACCCTGGGTCGTTGTTTCCGCTGGCGTCGGCAGCCTCTACTCTCGTCTCTTTGCCAGCCGGCATTTGCTCGAGGTGAACGGGATCTTCCTCATTGACCCGCTGCACGAGGCATATCTTGATTCTATCGGCCGACCAGGTCGGGGATTTCTCCTGTGGCTTCGTGGCATCATTTCCCCCTTGGGACTTGATCGTCTTGCAGGTGCTATTATTCGCGGTCGTACCAGAGAGGACAGAGTTATTGGGAGATCTGCTTATCAAACTGGCAAGTTCATCAAGGCGAAGCTACAGGAAAATCTAGTTGCGGTCACCATGACTGCGGCTGAGGTTCAATCTGCTCGCCATATCCAGATGGGGGAGACTCCACTGGTTGTCGTCAGTTCGGGTCAGAAGGTGAAAAGGGATCCTCTTTGGGCTGAGTGCCAGGAGGATCTTTCTCACATAACCAATAATCTTGTCTCTTGGGATGTGGTTCATGACGCACCCCATGAAGTGTGGAGTAGTGGCGAAGGCCGGCAAGTATTGGAGAAGCGCTTAAGAGAGATTGTCGAAGCTAGTCGAGCACACAAATGAGCCATTTCCTCTTCCCCAGCGTGGGTTTCTATTTGATGAATTTGATCATCTTCAAATACCATCTAGTTTTGTACAATTACTTTGATATTGTTGGATATCCACACTTATTTTCTGCTAAACACATGTTTTCCATTGGTCTGATATATGGCTACTTCCAAGGTTTTCGGTCTCCTAGGTTTTCGGTCTCCTAGGTTTTCGGTCTCTACACTTTTTCCGTTATTACTCCTAGTATAACTTGCCCCCGCGGCCACCTGGGCATGGATCAATGTTGATTACTGCAAATCTTTCAATGGAGTGATAGTTTCAAAGTTCATCATGTCCGAGTCGCCAATATTTAAATATTTCAACCTCATCTTTATGCCTAAAAAATCATGTAACCCGCTTCCATTCATAATGCTGATTTAGTCATGCCCGGCTAAATCAGAAAAGCAAATCGCAAGTCTTCATCAAACCCCCCAAGAGATGCGAGAAATAGAAAGACCGCCAGCCCATCCCGCCTGCCATGATCCATAACACCCCATACTACCCATTGACTCCCAACACCATCCATCGTAGGTCCATCTCGAACTATAATAAAGAAAGGATTATGGCGCATTACTCCTCAAATCGAATCGAACGGGTCTGTCTGCATCGAACAGTTCCCCAATGGGTGCATGATAAAATCGGCGGGGAATATCGGAAAGGAAAAAATCGGCGTGTATTCGAAAGATCAACCGAGCGACTGACGGGGTAAAGGCCAGTCAATCTAGACTAGCTCCCTTAAACCTCTTAGCAAGCTGATCACTGTCGGACTTGGGAGACATAGAGCGCGGGGGATGGGGAGCGGGGGAGGGATACCGCCGCTTCCCGCTAGGGGAATCCGAACGAAAAGATTCGACCGCGGTGGGCCAGGGGCGCTTAGGGGGCCGCTCACCACTCTCCTGAAGGATCGTCATCAATGTTGCCCAGCCGGACGTATTCAACAGCTGCATTCCATCGGCCGCGGCATGAGTTCTTGCGACTCGGCAAAGAAGGGCCTCCTCGTCCTGTAATTGTGATATGTTAATTGAGATACTGACTTCAAAAGCAGTTGATGGGAGAAAATGTTGAGAAAGTGCTCGACTAACCTTGCTAAAAGTCGAAAGCCCGTGCAAGAAACAAAGGAGATGGAAGTCGGAAACGCCCTCGATGGCCTTGTTGGGATCGCTCGGCGACATGAGCTTCTGGGCGATGTGACGTAGTTCCTGGCTCTCGCCGATGACCTCGCGGTTTTCGATGGGGAAACGACTATTGGTGAAAAGGGGTGATGACTCGGTGGGGAAACCGTGTGTAAGTGTGACAAGCAAGAAATCGACGGGGAAGCTTGGTTTGGCGTTTTCTTGTACGCTTGCGCCGTATTCGTTGATGCGGCGGTAAAATACCTCTGGGATGTACCGTGTCTTGCTGCCTTCATCGTCATCCTCTTCTGATTGAACCAGCACAACGGAGGGCTCTGCGGATGGTTCGGTGATGTTGGCTCGAGTCATCTCCACCGCCGATACTGTGGCCTGGTATGAGCTCACAGAAATGGCGCCTGTATCGTCGCCGCTGAGCACACATGTGACGAAGTCAGAGCCAAATCGCCCTGTGCGGCTCCACTTGGTGGCCTTAGGGTTCTGGGCCTGTAAGCGTGAAGCAAACGCGATCTCCAGGGAAGATAGGTAGTATGAATCAATGTGTCGTTTGCAAACCACGGATCCATCCCCTTGGCCTGCATCAAGGAGATCAGTGAAGATCACTCCGACTTTTTGTAAGCCACAGAGACGAGCGACTTCATCCACCTCTTTCTCGTTCTGCCATTCATGCAGTGTAACACCGTCCACCTCTCCGACCTGCGGAGGTTCGTAGATTGCCTGGACGACAGCCTTGACACCCAG